GTGGCAAGAAAAAGGGAAGAATCTTGTCTGGGTTTTGCAATAAAGAAATATAATTCGGTGCTTTAAAGCACTATAATAACACAACTGAAGAGTATAAAAAATTAATATAATTGGGCCAGGCACAGCGGCTCACGCCTGTAATCCCAGCACTTTGGGAGGCTGGGGCGGGTGAATCAAGATGTCAGGAGATAGAGACCAGCCTGTCCAACATGGCGAAATCCTGTCTCTACTAAAAACACAAAAATTAGCCTGTGTGTTGGCGGCACCTGTAATCTCAGCTACTCGGGAGGCTGAGGCAAGAGAATTGCTTGAAACTGGAAGGTAGTCAAGGCTGCAGTGAGCCAAGGTCAAGCCACTGCACTTCAGCCTAGGCGAAACAGTGAAACTCTGTCTCAAAAAAAAAAAAAGAAAAGAAAATAAATGAATAAAAACACAACTTAGAAAAGGTTACTATGTTACTAATATATCCATTTACCATAAATATACTTATTTTTAACTTTTGCCTAATTCATTATTGTAACTTCTAAAGCAGTAGGTTCAAATAAATTGCTGTTTACTGGATGTATACTGTTAAAAATGCATTGCTCCAAATCAGTATTTCTGTATGTTGTCAGTGGGAGCATAAATTGGTATAACCACTTTGGAAACTGTTTGGAAGTATCAACTAAATCTCATTACATATATATAGCCTATCATCCAGTAATTCCACTCCTAAGAGAAAGTTATACCCTCCTATGGCAGAAAACTTGGAAGTAGAGAAAATCAGAGAATAAAAATAAACTGTCATGCTAGTATTGAGATGATAATAATAATAATTATTATTTTTGAGATGGAGTTTCCATCTTATTGCCAAGGCTGGAGTGCAATGGCATGATCTCGGCTCACTGCAACCTCTGCCTCCCGGGCTCAAGCAATTCTCCTGCCTCAGCCTCCCGAGTAGCTGGAATTACAGGCACCTGCCACCATGCCCAATTAATTTTTGTATTTTTAGTAGAGATGAGATTTCATCATGTTGGTCAGGCTCTGGAACTCCTGACCTCAGGTGATCAACCTGCCTTAGCCTCCAAGAGTGCTGAGATTACAGGTGTGAGCTACTGTGCCTGGCCAAGATAATCATTATTAATGTTTGTAAAGAGAATATTACTTTACACACATTTTTATAGTAGGCTTACTTTATACAATAATATAAATATATTTCCATGTAATAGATATTTTTCAACTTTTTTGGGGGGAGAGATAGGGTCTTACTCTGTTGCCCAGGCTGGAGTGCAGTGGCACTTAAAGCTCACTGCAACCTCGACCTCCTGGGCTCAACTGATCCTTCTGACTTGGCCTCTTAAGCAGTTGGGACTACAGGCCTGTGCCACCATGTCCGGTTATCCTTTATTTTTATTTATTTATTTAATTTATAAAGAAAAGAGGTTTAATTGGCTCACAGTTCTGAAAGCTGTACAAGCACGGCTCCAGCATCTGCTTCTGGGTGAGGGCCTCAGGAAGCTTCCATGTGAGCTATCATGCCTGTCTTTATAGTAGAAGACAAAGAGAGAGCAGTGTCACGTGGCAAGAGTGGCAGAAGGAGACAGCTGCTTTACTTTTAGTAAGATTTATTTCCTTAAAAACAAGGACTCGGTTTCACTCCCACAGGGCATAATGAATATGAATGAAAATCATATTTGTAGAGAGGGAACATTCTTAAGTGCCTATTATGTATTAGGCATTGTGTTAGACACTTCACTATGCTAATTCATGTCATCATAAACTGACCTTAATGAAGTAGGTAGTATTTTCTCCATTTTATAAGTTGAAGAAATTGAAGATCATTCAAATTATGTGTCCTCCTTTCTTTCCTGCCTTGATTTTACCCTAACCTGCTCCTTTTGAAGTCTTCTCCAATGTTGTTACGGCAGTTCCATCCTTACGGCAGCCCAAGCAAAAAGCATCAGAGTCCTCCTCATCTCTTTTCCTTCATATCCCACATCCGTGTTGAGGAAACCCTGTCAGTTTATCATCTCCACCACTATCTCTCTGGTCTACTTCTCTATCTTCTTGCCCCTAGATTATTTTAGTAGCCTCTTAACCAGTCTCTGTGCTTTCACCCTTATACCCTACTGTTTATTCTCAACCTAGCAGTCAAAGTGATTCAATTACAATGTCAGAAAATGTCACTTTTCTATACATAATCCTCCAGTGGTTCCAACCAACTCACTCAGAGTAAAAGCCTTACCTGATCTGCATCACCCCCACCTTTCACTTCTCTGATTTCATCTTCTCCATCCTTTCATGGTGGCCTCTGGATTGTTCCTAGTACACTCAGGCACACTCCTGCCTCAGGCCTTTGCAGTTGCTATGCTTTCTGCCTGGGAAGTTGTCTGCTCAGATATTCCTAACCTCCCCAAGTCTTTCCTCAAATGTTACCTCCTCCAGAAGATTTCCCTGATCACTCCCACTTAACATAGCACCCCTCATACTTTTTATGTACCCTCTCTGCTTAATTTTTAACCACAGCATTTCTTTCTTTCATGACAGGGTTTCACTCTGTTGCCCAGGCTGGTGTGCAGTGGACTCAAGTGATCCTCCTGCCTCAGCCTCCTAGAGAGCTAGGACTACAGACACATGCCACCATACCTAGCTAATTTTTAAATTTTTTGTAGATAAGGGGTCTTGCTATATTGTCCAGGCTGGGTCTCCAACTTCTGGCTTCAAGTGATCCTCCTGGTTTGGTTTCCCAAACTGCTAGGATTATAGGCATGAGTCACCACTCCTGGCCTCTCCAAAGCATTTCTAATCATACAGCAGTCCACACAGTGTCCTTACTTATTTACCATCTGTCTTTCCCACCTGGAAGAGGTAAGCTCCATGAGGGCTGGAATTTTTTTTTTTGACTAGTCAAGTACAGTAGTGAGAAGGGGGAAAGAGTAGAACAAGGAGTTCGATCTGTGACTGTGAACAATCAATTGAGATAACTCACTACCTTCAGACCAGCTGAGGGCTGGAATTTTTGTTTGTGCTCTCTGCTATGTCCTCAATCCCTTGAAGGGTGCCTCGCATGCAAAAGACACTCAGTATATATTTGTTGAGAAAATGAATGCTTCCTCCACATTCCAATTGTTAGAGCAGGCCAAGGGGAACTGTTGTGCAGAACTCCACAGCTTTTTACTCTGATCTCTATCTTGCTTGTTCTTCCTTATCTTCTTTGTTCTTCTTGACTGCGCCTGTCACAGGTTAAAGGCTAGTGAAGCGCTTGTCACAGGTGAAAGGCTGGTGAATATGGAGAGATACTTATGGCAACTACGACCAGTGTTCCTGCTGTCATCCACAAGCGCAGCAGTGGTGGCAGACAGCTAGAGAAGGAAGTGTGAAGTTTGCATCCTCCAGTTACCACGTTTGCAAGACAGAACTTGAAACTAGATAAACTTTACTGGTTATCTCTGGATGCCATTCATTGAAAAACGAAGGGAAGAAGATACTTCCTACAAAGGAGAATCCAATGAGGCGCCAGCAGGATGCTGCTGCGGTGGAAAACGGCCACATCCGCCTTTGCAAACTGGTGTGGCCCCAGCTGGCTCACCGCAGGTTTCAGCCACTCCAACCACAGGGTTATGAACGTGCCAAGAGAGCTACCAACCAGGAGTTTCTCATTCCTCCTCCGGGATTTAAAGTCCAGAAAGCAGAATCTTCACTTCCGCGGCCCAAGCATGCAAGGGGCTTGGGAGACGGAGGAATGGGGAAGCGAGGCGGCGCTGCCCAGCTTGGCAATGGCACAGCCGCGGTCTCTGATGCAAAGGCAGCCGGCCACGCAGAGTCAGCCCCGGGTGGGAAGGCTGGACTCCAGGAAGGATGCTGAGGAACCAGACAGTGCCCAAAGCCCCCATCTCAAGCGTGGTAGTGGGGAAATGGATGTTGAACCTGCTCTGTCATCTTGACTTGGGGAAGTTTCACCTTTGTTGTAGAACGGTCCAAATTAGAGCCTTCATTTCTTGGGAAGGGGTGGGGTGGGGGAGTTGCCAGTGACACACACACATACCACGTACTCCCTAACCCCTCAAACGACTGCACTAACGCTAAGGTTACCCTTAAAAAGCAAAACAGAACAAACCGGCAGGCGTCCTCCCTCCACCCTGGCACTTCATTAACGTCGGCCAAGGCCACATTTCCCTTGCCCACTGCAGGGGGGTCTGACAGGAGAGAAACAGGCAAACGATTGCTTCACTTGACTCTGCTCTTTCGGGACGGTATCAGTATTTTAAAATTCACACCTCAAGGAAGTTTGGGGTCCTTTTAATCATTTGTCCTATAGGACAAGGAACAGAATTAAATTGTATGGGGTCAGCAAAGGAAAGCGGAGCGGGGCTGGGGCGCCGTTGGCTGCCCTCAAACCTCTGGGAAGCGAAAAATCGGAAACGCCCGTGACTTGCGGCGTCGTCCGACTCCCTCCACTCGGCAGAAGCCGAGAGACGAGCCTTTGGCGGGACCGTGAACGGTAGTGCTGTGTACCGCGGTGTGAGTGCGTGAGTCAAGAGCGTAGCTCCGGCCAAACACTAACCCCAAGGGCGCGAGGACTCCACGGCACCCGGCTCAAGTTTCGGTGGAAACTTTCCCTCAGAGGCTCCTCCTCCTTCACCTTGGAAACCGGCGCCGGCCGCGCGGCGCGGTGCAGCCTGAGACCCCGGCGCACCTGGCGGCGGCGCGTCCCAGCGGCAGGGGCGGGGCCGGCGGCGGCGGGGGCAAGGCCGGGGCGCGCTCCCGGAGGCCTCCTGGCAGGTTGGGCCCCGCCCCCGCCCTTGCCCCGCCCCGCCTCGCTCGGGTCCCCGGGCCGCCCGCGCTCCTGAGGGAGAGGCGGGGTAGAGCCCGGGACCCACGCGGCTCAGCCAGCGGCTGACGCACCCTCGAAAAGTTGCGCTCCGACCTTCTCACGACCTACATTCTTCCTGTGCACTCCTCAGTTTGAGCAGGGCCGGGAGGACCTGGGCCGAGACTTTCCAGCGGCGACCGCCAGCGGGGCGAGGAGTCGGCTCCGCTTTGCTCACAGGGTCCAGCGCTGGTGTCCCCGGGACCGCAGCGCAAACTTTCTGTACTGTCTGAAGACACTTGTCCAGCGAGCCCCACTGCTCGGGGAGGAGGGGCCACGGCCGGGGACAGGTAGGTGCTGTGCTGGCCAGTGATTCTTTTATTTTAGGGGATTGGAGGAGGGAAAGCCGAAATGTCCCTTCACTGCATCCGCCAGCTGAGCTGGAGGAGCCGACATTGGCCTGGGGGCCGACTGGGGATGTTCCAAACGAGGGCGCTGCGTCGGGCGGGGGCGCGGGGTGAGTTGGGGGAGGAGGTGGCTCCCAGGGCTGCCAGCCCCGGGACGGGGCGTTACGCGGTGACTGACCCTGGAATAGAGAGAGCCGGCTTGTTTTGGCGAAGGAAGATGTCATCAGGGCCCTCCGTCCCATTCCTTGGTCCCTGGGTCCTCTGGGAGGCACAGGCAAAGGCAAAGAGAAGTGGAGTTCAGGTTTCCCCTCTGAACGAACTTGCTTACACCGGAGACTGCGGCGGTGCCCGTCTGAGGTTTGCGGCCCCTTCCTGCTGTAAGGACTTACTTGTTGGGTAGCTGTTGCTCAATTTGTAAATTCTCTGATGAAACTGCATTCAAGTCGTGGTTGTTATTGATAACGTGTGTGTGTGTGTGTGTGTTTGTGTTTCCTCTGGCTCAACAAAGGTCCCTTGTTAACTCCACTTCTGCTAGGGAGTGGGAGGAACTACCTGCTGTCTTATTTCAGGCCGGGCCAGAGAGAGGTGTTGGTGCAGGCTGAGGTAGCCTTGTTGGCTTGAGACTTGGGAATCACGTGAGCAGGTCTAGTCAATTAGCCCAGTTCTGTACCAGCCTCCTGGACCCACCCAGTCACAGCAGATCCAGCTTCCACTTTTCAGCAGATGCTGCAGCCCCAGGCATCCAGGGACAGGGAAACCTCCCTGAAGGGAAAGAGCCAAATATTGAGAAGGAGAGACAGCTCTCAGGAGGAGGAGTAAACAATGCCTACCAATTGTTGCTTCCCTGTAGATTGGGCTCGCTCCCTTGGCTTCTCTGGAAGGACTGTGCTATCAAATTCATCTCATTAGGAAGTCAGCTGCTCCCTGCTAATAGCCATAGCAGCCCTGATGAAATTATATAGGTCATTGAAAAATAATTCCTGCTTAATCACCTTTATCCTGTTGATTAATGAGAGGAAAGATTTCCTCTCCTTAATGTACCATGCCTGCTTGTCAGGGTCACCTGCCTGACCTCAAGTTCACCTGTACACCTGACACTAGGCAGAATGCTGTCCCTGAAGCTGCCAACATGTAGCGAACCACAGCTGAAGTCCACATTTGAAGAACTTCAAACGTCTTCTTTGGACAGAAATTGAGCAGGAGACTTAGTCCATAAACTTACTCTTTAATACAACATACTTGTTAGGTTTAGGTAACTTTTCTCCTAATTAAAGGTCGATATCTTTTTAGCTCCAGTCAGTCCCTTTCCACAGAGCTCATAAGAATTATGTCCATGTCTGTCTTGAAATAAATTAAGTTTGTGGTCCTATTTATCATTTGTCCTATATGACAAGGAACAGGATTAAACTGTGTGGGGTGGCTGGAAAGGGTCAGAGAAACTGGACATCACTGAAATGGATTCAGAGAGTAATTAAGAGTAGTGTAAAAATTTAGGTCCAACTGCCCAGCTACCTTCCTTCTTGGCTCTCATATAGAGGCATTATGTGGGATTTTAATGGAGGACTTGAAAACTAGAAATAAAAGGAGTGCTTTATTTTTACAGAATCAGAGTAATGCATTGCTGGACAGTTCTGTACTCTACCTACTAAGATGGGTTCAAAATACTTTCTCTGCAAAGTTCTTTCTTTAATAGGAACTTGATAGATAATGACTGCAAACAAGAAGCAGATGTACAAATATATTATGTAGAAATATGGAGGTAAAATGAGAAAAAACAAGAATTGACTGAGGAGTGAAATTATATTCTTGTATTATTATTATTATTTTTGAAGTTAGTTAGGGTCTCTCTCTGGCCCAGGCTAGAGTTCAGTGGCAGGATCTCAGCTCTCTGCAGCTTTGATCTCCTGGGCTCAAGCAATTCTCCCACCGTAGCCTCCTGAGTACCTGGGACCACAGGTGCATGCCACCACACTCTTAATTTTTTGTATTTTTCGTACAGACAGCTTTTGCCACGTTGCTCAGGCTGGCCTTAAGCTCCTAGACTCAAGCGATCACCTGCCTTGGTCTCCCAAAGTGCTGGGATTACAAGTGTGAGCCACCACGCCTGGCCTCTTGTCTTACTTTCATAAGGAAAATTTAATAAGGAACCTCCTTTCTCCCTGCAAATGTAAAGCAAAATTGCTTTATTTAATCTGTTTAGACACTTGATCTTTATTCGGTGTACATTTGTCTCCTAGGGTGATACATAGGCCCAGTGAAGGTCTGGATCAGATTCTGGCTTTGAAACAATTTAGATCTACTTCATCCTTATTTTCAGCAACTTCGAACTCTTGTTTTTTAGCCTAGGTAGGGGAACAGTGGTCAAGAGCGACAAGAAACTCCAGGGACTTCATTTGTAGGACTCTTTTAGTGAAGACAGTAACAGAAGCGAACAGTTCTATAGTGCTTTATGATTCACAAAGTGCTTTCATGTACCATATTTGTACCTTGTGATTTAACCATTTTGTAGTAGATGCCCTTGTATTTAGATTACACGAGAGGAAAGTAGATGAGATTCAGAGATAATAAGGGACTTTTATGTGCATACTTTGCTCCTGTATATTGTGGACTCAGACCTGAATTCAGGATTTCTTATTTACAAGCCATGCTTTCACTTTTTTCCCTGTTACATTTGTGAAGTGGTTGGATGTGAAATGGGCTTGGCTTTTCCTTCCTCCCTCCCTCCCTCCCTCCCTCCCTCCCTCCCTTCCTTCCTTCCCTCTCTCCCTCCCTCCCTCCCTCCCTCCCTCCCTCCCTCCTTCCTTCCTTCCTTCCTTCCTTCCTTCCTTCCTTCTCTCTCTCTCCCCCCTTCCTCTTTTTCCTTCCTCCCTCCCACCATCCCTCCCTCTCTTCCTTCCTTCTTTTCTTCGACTTGTCTTTACTTTACTTTCTCATGGAGTTTCACTCTAGTTGCCCAGGCTGGGGTACAATGACGCAATCTCAGTTCACCATGACCTCCGCCTTTTGAGTTCAAGTTATTCTCTTACTCAGCCTCCCAACTAGCTGGGATTACAGGCATGAGCCACCACACCCAGCTGATCTTGTGTTTTTAGTACAGACAAGGTTTTTCCACATTGGTCAGGCTGGTCTCCAACTCCTGACCTCAGGTGACCTGCCGGCCCCGCCTCCCAAAGTGCTGGGATTACAGTCATGAACCTCTGTGCCCAGCCCTCTTCTTTCTTATTAACCAAAATGTGAGCTCATGTGGAGACAGGATGACAGGACTATATGTGCATATATGTGTGTATGTGTATGTGCATATATGTGTATGTATGTGTGTATACACATATAACATATAGTCTGTATAGCTTTAGCATCGCAACAGTATAGCTGTGCAATAAAATTGAAGTAACCTCCATTACATTTGGGAGGGAAATCTTGGGAGGTGGCATAGGTGAATAAATAACTTGATAGATTGAATAAATGTCTCAAATTGAAAAACTCTGGAAATAGCAGTATAAGTGCATGATTTAAAAATATAGAAATAATTACTGGAAGAAATAACTAGAAGAATTGAAGGACCTTCTTTTGGGGAATGAAACTCAGGGGTGAGGATGAACCAGTCAGGAATCTACTGTTTTTGGCTATGTACCTTATAATATTAGATAACATTTTATACTGTGTGCATATGTATTTCTTTATTTTCTTTATTTATTTTTTGAGGCAGAGGCCCGCTCTGTTGCCCAGGGAGGAGTGCAGTGGCATGATCTCAGCTCACTCCAACCTTTATCTCCTGCGTTCAAGTGATTCTCCTGCCTCAGCCCCCCGAGTAGGTAGGGCTACAGGCATGCACCAGCATGCCTGGCTAGTTTTTGTATTTTTAGTGGAGATGGGTTTTCGCCATGTTGGCCAGGCTGATCCCGAATTCCTGGCATCAAATGATCCACTTGTCTTGACCTCCCAAAATGCTGGGATTACAGACGTTAGCTTCTGAGTGTGTATTACTTAAAAAAAACTCTCCCAGCACTTTGGGAGGCTGAGGAGGATGGATCACGAGGGCAAGAGATCGAGACCATCCTGGTCAACATGGTGAAACCCCGTCTCTACTAAAAATACAAAAAATTAGCTGGGCATGGTGGCACGTGCCTGTAATCCCAGCTACTCAGGAGGCGGAGGCAGGAGAATTACCTGAACCCAGGAGGTGGAGGTTGCGGTGAGCCGAGATCGTGCCATTGCACTCCAGCCTGGGTAACAAGAGCGAAACTATGTCTCAAAAAAAAAAAAAAAAAACTCTTTGGCAAGGATGACGTGAAGGTCTTTTGTTATAATTTTAGAGCCAAAAAGGACCACAAAGATGATTATTCCTAGTTCCTTCATTTTACAGGTGAGGAAATTGAGGTATAGGAGTTTAAATGTTTTGTTCATGGTCACATAACTGAAGAGACAAACTTTTCCTGGACAAGATCACACCCTTCCCCGGGCAGGTAGAAAGTTTTACCTTGCTCTAGTGATTGCTCAATTTCCTTTCTCGGCAAATCTTTTTCCTTCTATCTAGTTTTTTTTTGTTTGTTTGTTTGAGACAGAGTCTCACTCTGTCACCCAGGCTGGAGTGCAGTGGCACAGTCTCAGCTCACTGCAACCTCCGCCTCCTGGGTCCAAGTGATTCTCCCACCTCAGCCTCTTGAGCAGCTGGAACTACAGGCATGCATCACCACGTCCAGCTAATTTTTGTATTTTTTTTTTAGTAGAGACAGCATTTCACCATGTTGGCCAGGCTGGTCTTGAACTCCTGACCTCATTATTCGCCCTCCTCAGCCTCTCAAAGTGCTGGGATTACAGGTATGAGCCACAGTGTCCAGCCTCCTTCTAGTTTTTACAATCTTTGAACAGGTTACTGGACTATAGATTCAAAAGTATATCTAATTCCTTAAATTTCCATTTTGAAAATGCTTCAAATGTTTTTA